ACAGGAATGTCAGTACAATCTTGTTATACCTCCGGAATATATGACTAGTTTTGCGGTTATTCTCGTAGGGGATCACCCCATCAAACAGTGAACATACTTTGAACGCCAAATCATAGTTAAGTGTCTCTTCTGATGGCAATCTTCGGTTCAAAGCAATCGTTTCGTTCAATTCGTGCTCTTCTGAAGACATTTCTGCAATCGATTCCAACCAATATTCTTCAAAAGGCAATGAAACAAATCTTAAGTAACTTGGATTGTGGTCACCATAGAGTCTACTTTCAAATAAGTTAAACTTCATTAGAGTTTGGTTATTTAACTTTTATTGCAAGGTTATAATGGTATATAATTTTAGTAAAAGTAATAAAAATGTTTTGTAATCAATGTAATTAAAAGTGCACTTGATTCTTAAATAAGGGCAATTAGTGCTAAAATTGAACAATATTATAATTCAGTATTGAACAAATCCATTTAAAAAGCAAAATAATGATTTTATTTATGAATATGTTTTTACGGACACATGTTCTTATGATACAGTATTTACATTTAAATGTAGTTTGAATTAAACACAATACTTACTGCCATTCAATGAAACCTTAATTATCATAAAAACCGACAATTGCTTCATTTTCTACATTTAATGCACTTTTAAAANTTAAGACATTTAAGATATAATAACAACATTTTAGGACAAAATCTCATATATTCCGTGACAACAGAATATTTCTCTTTATATTTTTAAATTATTGTCACAATTCATAGCAAAATATATCTCATAATATCACATTGACTGACATTAAAAATAATGCTTTTCAGTAATAGTCTGTTAGAAATTAGATTAATATCATAAAATCGTTGATGATTTACAGTAAACTTTGATAAATAAGACTATTTATAAACTACCTAACTTATACAATATTTATATATTGATGTGTGAAATGTAACATAAGTTTTTAAAAATATTATACAGTATTCCCTTAAAATCAATATAATTTTTAAATTTTTTAAATTTTAATTTAAACTTTAATTCTAAAAATTCTGTACATAATAGTAAATATTTAAATATTTGATATTCTGATATTCTGTTTGTAATGATAAAGTGCGGTTGAATGTGAGCTAAGTTTATATTTATATAAAAATATTTTACTTATATTTCATTGTCAAACAATTCAATACAATTGAGTTGATTATAATGAAGTTAATTATAATAAGAAATAGATTGAGATTAGGATGGGATGTGAATGAGTGGTTACATAGGAATTAGGGTTTCCTATGAAAGTCATTACAATCTAATGTTTGTAACAAATCTTGACAAACAAAAAGTGCAATCATTCATAAAATCACATAAAGCATAATAAAACATAAATGAACTGTCGAGTGATGCAAGAGTAAAGTAAAGTGACCAGGATGATAGGCTCATAGGCAGCTCACCAGTGGATCCAATAGTCTTTGAACCACTTTTCTTAAGACACGATCTCTTCAGTGATTGGTGCACTCAATGACGTCAACTATGTGTTGAGCCAAAGGGTTGACAGGTTTTTGAACACATGTTTTGTGTAAACAATAGACAAATGCATTGACAGTGCGATCGGCGCCCAAATGTGCGACAAATCATTGAATTAACACTTAATTTGTATCACAAATGCAATCAATAGTGAGTTAAAAGTATTTATCGCATAATAAATACCGCATCTAATCATGAAATACACGACTTGTCACCACTTGTTGTCACATATATTGACATTTTGTATATTCAGTGAAAGTTTTATAGTTTTATTCATTTTTAATCACCCATTGAATGATGTCTTGTGTGCGGATCAACCAAATGGTGAAGACTTTTACCAATTGTTGGGCATTACGAGGGATGCGGACAATCGGCTCATTAGGAAAGCCTTCAAACAGTTGGCGCTCACCACACATCCCGACAAAAACCCGGTTATTATCACCGCTGAAGACATTTTGCCATTACTTGATATCATTTGATTGACTCATACTTTAGTTTCATTAGAAATAAGTTTAGTTTAATTTACTTAACAATGAGTTGCCGGGGGTTTAACCCCCCCGTAGATAAACACTATAGCTATGGGTGAGGGGGTGTGGCATACAGTGTACTATTTGATAGACTTTTAAAAAGTTTTGAAGTATTGATTGACTTTTAAATTAAAAAGTTTAATGCATTTGTCATTTAGTGAACACATCATATGATGTCAAGTAATTGAGTCTTGGTCACTTTGAGATAATTGATTTGAGTATTAATTTTATTTCTATGTATTGTCTACAGAATGATCCCAAAGCTCACGACAACTTCCTGAAGATCACCCGCGCATATGAAGTGCTTAAGGTATGGCATCTGATCCCATAAACCATTCATAAACTTGTGTCCAGTCTTTGAATTGAGATAAATATCACGTGTTTTGTGTGAAAAGGACGACGAAATGCGTAAGAAGTACGACATGTATGGCGAGGACGGCCTCAAAGACGAGGGCACCGGTAGACCGCAGTACCACTCGTGGAAGTACTACAACGAAGACTTCGGTATATATGAT